AATGATTTTTGGTTTTTTCATGACTAACACTACAACAATGACATCTTGAAACCAAAGAGATACCATAGGATTGCATGTTATAATCTACTCGCTATAACATTATATAAGGGTTTCCATATAAAGATACCAATTTTCCTTGAAAGCGATTTGTTCCATAATCTTCTCCACTATTCAAACTTAGGAGCGAGTAGCCCTATTGGCCTTATGCTAGGCTTTAGTATTGAAGTTACCGGACTTCTAGTCTAGGTAGTGGAGTCTATCATTTACACTATCATCCAAGTGTAGTAAATCCAATTCATTTCTCACTACTAGTGAAAAAGACATATAAAGGGAATAATGGTATTTTTTGGGCTAAAGAAGTCTCCATGTCACATGTAGGAGGAGGTAAGTCACTCATTGTCCAATTATCTTTCCATAACCTAAGATTACCTAATCTTGCCCCCACATAGATCAATCCAATAAGGAGCTAATATAAGGAAGTAAAGTATACCATATTAACGATCCTTTTTTGTAACTAATAGAGCCAAAGGACGATGGCTCCCTATATTTTGATCTCATAAAGAAGCTCCACAATAAAGAGCAAGCTATGTATACCCAAGCCGAGCTTCCCTTTCATTGAGTTCATGACTTCTCTCGGGTTTTTTACATTTAAACCACCATCTTGTATCGAAAATGATATATTCCTCTAACTCATCCAATGATGCATGTTATCACCGTAATTTTTTTAAAAGAAATTAGATATGTATCCTTGTATTATGGAGACGAGTAGCCTTAGGCATAGGAAACACCCCTATGGTGTAAATGGGAATAGAATTTAATATAGCTTGAATTAAAGTCAACTTTCCTCCTCTAAAAAGTAATATTCTTTTCCAACAAGTCAGCTTATCTTTAACCTTGTTTTTCAAATTAGCAAAATATTCTAAGCGAGATATTCCTTTAAAAAGTGGCATACCTAGGTAAGTCATCACATTTATGAAAATAGAGAAGTCGATCCAATTTGATAGAAAACCCTTCCTGTTTAGAGGCGGTTTATTACCGCACATAATAGAGCTTTTTCCGGATATTAACATATTGACCGCTAACAAATGAGTATAAGGACAAGCGAGACATTAGCTTATCTATATTCTTTTTGCCCTTATTACGGAAGATCAGCATATCATCGACAACCGATAAATACGTGATGGTAATATTGTTATGCCCAATATAGTAAAGGATAAAGGATCCCTTTGCTACTCGAACATTCAAATGTCTACCGAATACTTCCTAAGTTAGGATGAAAAGTGATGGAGACAAAAGATCCCCTTGTCTCACCTTACGAAAGGATTTGAAGAAGCCAAAAGATTTGGAGTTAATGATAAGTGAGTTCTAACAATTACACGGGCATTTATAGATCAAATCACACCCTTTATCTCACTTATTTAAAATCAAGATCAAATTACTACATAACTTTCGGAAGAAAAGTCCATTCCATCCTGTCATATATTTTAGACATATCTATCTTTAGGATCATGTTACCCCCATACACCTTTTTGTCGATATCATTAAATAACTCTTGAGTTATAGCAACACTCTCATGAATAGCCCTCTCTTTCATAAAACTAGGCTATTCTTTTGAAATCAACATTGGTTAAACCCTACTCAGTCTATTTGTAAGGATGTAAGATAAAATTTTATAAGTGAAGTTACATAAACTTATTAGCCTCAAATCAAAGAAATTGGTAAGTCGAGAACACCTAGGAATTAACACCATGGAAGTAGTAGTAACACCTTTTAGAATCTCCCAAACTTTAAACACATCCTAGATTACTAACACCAAATCCCTATATATGATATCCCAATAAGACTTGAAGAAGGCACCGAGTGAAACCACTTGGACCTGAGAGCACTAAGCTAATCCAACTAAAAAACTAATGAATTAATCTCTTTCGTTATGGGAATAGCCATTAATTCAACATTTTATGAGTCAATAATTAGAAAGGGTAAAATACTAAGGAAGGAATCTACCATAATAGTAAATTCATTAGTAAATGTGTTCGAAAATATTCTACGGTAGCATTCCCAACCCTAATGTCATCGGCACAAATTAAGACATCGTCCAAAGTTAAATCAAACATAGATTTTATAGATCGAATATGAATACAAACATGAAAGAAAGCGAGTGTTTCGATCTTTTGATTCTAAACACTTGATTTGGGCTTTCTCCTATAACATTTGTTCCTCTTGATTGACCGATCGGGATAAATTCTCTTTGGGTATTATTGATTTTATTGTGTTTTTTAAGCTTTGCATTCCTCGAAGCATAGCTTGTATTAAATCACTTCATCCTTAACCTGGTTGATTTTCAAATTGTTATCTCTAAAAACAATCTAATTCCAAAACTTCAATTCCCTCTTCAAGACTTTGAGTTTCGGATGAAGATTCAAAATAGGAGAATGGCTAAAAGATTAGTCCTATTTCGTTGGCTAAAAGATTGGTCCTATTTACTTTGAACAAATGAAAAGAAGTCATCATTTAATGTTTATATTTTTTTTAAAGAAAAATCCCGTAGACTTTGGGACGACCATTACAAAGGAGAGCAACGAGTAAGTAGTGATCGTAGTGAACCCTAGCCAAATAAGAGCACGTCAATCACAAAAGAGAGGATAAAAATGCTTGGTTAACTAACACCTTTTTTCTAACTTTTTCTAGATATAAGCCATGCCCTCGTGATTGTTACACTATGTGAATTTGCTTCTAGTATATCTAATGTCTTGTACTCCTAAAATTTGGATGCTATAATTAAAGTCAAAAATGGATCCCCACCCTAGTTTTGAACCCTCAGCCTTTTCGGATATGTTAGCTATAGAATTGAAGTCTCCTTTTATAATCCAAGGTACTATAACACTAAAAGACTAAAGATTATCCCACAGGCTTCTTTTGTCCATCCTATCATCATCGGCATAAACTGATGAGAATATGAGATCCGTATTGGTCATTAAGTCTCTAATACTAACTATAATAGATTACAAGCAAACAAACTACATGTTTACCTTAAACGGATCTCTCCAAAAAATCTAAATGTATTTGTTGATAGGATTGCCATACATAAAACCGGAGAATCGAAGAGACCTTTAGCTAGCTTATCACTCAATTATTTAGGTTTTAAAATAATGAGAACAATAACTCGATGCTATCCGACCAAATGTCTCAAGTATCTCTTTTTTCTTTTTTTCTAAGGTATATGTACCCATTAAACTCCATAACAAACTATTCATAAGACAAAAAGAAGAAAAGTTCTCTATTATGATCTCTATCCGATTTAGTAATATATCCGCCACTACGTTGAACCGGACTCTAAGCAATTTCATTTTTTGCATTTTAGGCATAACTCTGTCTTATTTTTCTCTATAGTTTAGCTTTGTCTTGATACTTTGATCCATCAAATCTTGCCTATATATGTATCCTTCAAAACATGCATATGGAGATAGTTCAAGTTTGATGTACTCAAACAAAACGCCATCATTCATGATGTATTGCATTACTTCGTTTAAAGAATTAAAAGAATTTAGGGTGGCAAACTTCAATAATATGATTATATTTGGTTGTATTTCGCATCTACTAGGGTGATACTATCTAGTAATTACTGAACATTAATGTCTTCTTTCTCATTTGACTTTAACCGACCACTCGTCCCTTCTTGTAATCTACCCGGTTATCCTTTGTGTGCACTCGATCAATCTTTATGAGAAAGGCAATGTCTTTCCCTTTAAAGTAAGAGGTAGTTCATATATTATCAACATCTTTTTTTTTTTTTTTGCTAAGGGTAAATCATAACAGATTATGTTGCTATTATCATTTTTCCTTTTGAAGGGTTTATGACTATACCATCACCGATTATCCGAGGTTATGATTTTCTATATGTTGGCGTCGAACCGAAGAAGCCTATTATGACTTGTCTTTCTTTCATATAATTTGCCGGACCTAATTGTTGGCTGATTTTATGTGTATGTGATACCATGGTAGTTGGAGGAGCTTTAATTATTGGATCTTGATCATTATAAGAAATTTTACAATAATTGTTCTTCAACCGAACATACAACCGACAATAATCGCGAAGGATGCATTGGATTCTACCCGAATGGATTGCCAAAACCCATTAGATTTATCAAAACTAATTAAGATCCATACTCTTGATGAAATAGAGGTTGTCGAATCCACTTCTATAAAAACCCTAGCATGCATAGGATGCGATCCATTTATTGTGCATTCGTATGGACATAAAAAGCTTCTAAATGGCCGAACAAACTCTTTTAAAAAAGCTGAAAGGAAGAAACAAAGAGAGACGTGAGAGCCATACCTATATTATAGCTTTAGAAGATTTAAAACGTGTGGTGAAATCTCAATCCCATTGGAATAGTAAAAAAGAGAGTTTTTGATCAAGTGAGAATCACGAGACCAAGCTTTGATGAAGTCATCTCTAGAGCACATTTAGATTAAAACATACCTCGGATTAATCAATCGTAAAACTTTAGTTTTTGACAATCCTCAATGTTGTTGAATATGAGCTCGAATGGTATTAATGGAAGGGTGCCTTTTAGAAAATTTTACTATAAATGAGAATTCAAATATCATGAACTACTACCGTAGATCTGCTATGAAAAATTCCATTGCTAGCTCTCCTCCAAAAGATGATGGAGGCTTGGGTGTAACGATGAGAGAAAGAAAACAACATTCAATATAAGGTTGGTTGAGTGTGGCTCCCGTATAAGAAATATTAGGGTTTTTTCTTTTTTGTAGTTATGATTTAATATTTGTGGGATGTGTAACTGAATGATGAGGTAAGGGGTGGGGAGCTAAGAGAGAGAGGTATGATGAAAGACATCTCCCTCATGCAGGAAATATCTAGCAATGAAGAAGCCTATCGTTTATGTGGTTTTTCCTAGCACTCTCTCCTAAATTCTCTAGATATTTTTTTTACTTCAAAATTGATTCGATTTGTTTCCTACCTCAACCCAACCTCCATGGAACTCGTAAATCCCTCTTTTCTCTTCTACCTTGTAAATTTACGAAACCCAAGTCATATCTTTTATCCTAATCTAGCTTCAAAATCTAAACCCATAATCAAATATGTAACCCTCAAATCTAACCCTCGTGAGCTAATAAAACTCTCATCACTCATAAAATCAAAAGCAAAAATGAGAAGAAAAAAAGCTAGGGTTTTTTGTGTGATGGTGTGATGAATATCACTCGTCATTATTCGCATTGGGAATGTCAATAGCTACATTAAGGTAAATAGGAACTATAAACAAAGGGGAAAATCTTACCCGGGCATTTGATTGAAGGGGTTTGGGTGATGATATGAAGTAGTTGTAGGTAGTGGCTAGTTTAAATAGTGAAGCGAGGTTCTTTTAAACCTAGGAACTACGGAGGCTCGTTGATGATGTTGGTTCCGAGTGTGTCTTCCTTCCAACAGATTAGTAAGAATCTTAAACCTTTTAATTTCTCTATAATTTGTTTGCATCTATTATGCCTCTCTATATTGTTCTCTCTTTTCTCTCGATTTCCCTCTTCTAAATTGTTGCTCCTCTTTGTTTTTCCACACTTGCTTTTTTTTAAAAAAAAAAACCCAATTCCACCATTATTTATACCCAAAAGGCCCCTTGTTTACTCTAAGGATCAATTCCCTTAAACCCTAAATTCTCCCATAACATACAATTCTCTCCAAGCTTCGTTGTCGGTTTTAACTCTATATGAACAAAGCCAAAATATGCTAATATGTGGGTTTTGGAGTGTTTTGTGTGTGCTTTGTGTGCGGGTATTGCATAGGATGTATACATGATTCTTGGCTAGTACAAATGTCGACCAAAAGTGAGTTTTGTCCCTCGGGTCCATTGTCTTCTTTGAACACGATAAGCGGTAATAGAGGTAGGGAAGATTGGAGGTAGCATGCTTGGACTATTGCAAGGAAAGCTTGGACGATAGGTCGTTCGAGTGATCTCAAATTGGTCCTTTCGTTCGTGTCTTAAATTGATTTAGGTCCCTGTAGGTTCAATTCTATTACAATTGTACCGTCTGGATGTGTAATTATAGTCAATTTACTTTTAATTTTTTTTTCAAGTGGGTCATTGTGTCTTTTAATTCCAATCTCAAGATTTTCAATTGTATCCTCAATTGCTTCAATTTTAGCTATGTTTTATTCAATCGTAGCCCTAATACTAATTAATTTTTTGTATTTTTTATTATTTTTTCTTTTTTTTTTATAGCAAATTCCAAAATAAAATAAACATAAAAATAAAAAAGAAATAAATAAAATAAGACAAGAAAATAAAAGATAAAAGGGATAAAAATTAGAGGAGATTTTACGTTATGAAAGAAATAATTTTGAATTTTTAATTTATTCTTTACTAGTCGATTACCTACACTACACTACGAGTCGAGTAGAAAAAAAAATCAATTCAAAATTTTTAAATTTTTTATTATAATTTTTTTATTTAATTGTATTTTTTTATTTTTTTGCAAATTTTTTGCTTAATTTTTTTTTATCATTTTTATGTATAGTTTTTGAAATAAAAAATTGTAATAATTTAAATTAAAATATTAATCAAGAATTAAAAAAAAATGCTTTAAAAATATTTTTTTTCATAAGAATGTATCCAAAAAATAAAGTTATAATTAATGCATTGACTTATACAAAAATTAACCAAACAAAATAAATTTTTACTCTTATTTAATGTTGATAAGATGATTATTTTTTAAAAGTATATGCATTTGATTTATATATATTTATTTACAAAGTAATAAACAATGTTAGCATAAATAGTGTACTTGAATAACTAGGTATTTTTTTTTTAAAAAAAATATTTTAATTATTTTATTTCAAATAAAGTGATTTTATAATATTTTTAAACATATTTATAGAAAATAGTTAGTGTTATGTGTGAAGATATATAATTAATTTTTAATAAAACCAATGATTCTATAGTTTTTTTTATATGTTTTGACCATATTAAGACAAATTATTTAGAATACATTCTTAATATTTTAGATTAAAATAATTATATATTTATATATAAGCCACTATTATTTAAAAAGTCTACGAATACATGATATATATTACATCAATTTATTTTTAAAAAAGAAAATAATTTTGTTTTAAAATTTTATTCTAAAATTCAAATATGAAAAAAAATGCTATATTCACCATTAAATAAAATTTTATGAAAAAATTAATTGAATGAGGATTTTCATAAAAAAAAAAAAAGAAGAAGAAGAAGATAATTTAAAGAATAAATTTTAAATAATAAGAGTAATATAATCTAAAATATATTTTATTTTTAAAATATAAAAATAATATTATATATTTTTATCTTCGTCATGCTATGTGAAAAACAAAAATAATAACGCTCAATATTTCATAAGTTTGGCCTAAAAATTATTAATTAAAAAAATTACGAGAAAAGAAAAAAAGAAAAAATTAAAGAAAAGGAAAAAAAAAAAAAAGAGGCGAAATCTCGTGCGATTGGGTTTGGAGGACCTAGACCTCATGCCGGGTCTCGGAGCGCCGAGCTCGCACATGCCATGGCACTTCTTCTTCATTTTCGGTGACCTTTGCATTTTTCGACAACCAATTTCATCGGAAAAGTCATTGGAAAGTTAGATTTTATAATTTCGAGCCTCCTAAGACCAAATTCAGTCCAAATTGTTTTCAAAAACACCTTAAAATCATTGAAATAATATCAAAAAAATTCATTTAGAATCTCAAAATTTATTTTAATTCGCACAAAAAACGTAAAAATTAAAATTAAAATTAAAAAAAAGAATTCAAAATCTTTTGAGCTTTTGATTTGCATTCTCCTACCATTTCATGATTGGTCACTACAACAAATGGATGCTACTCTTCAAGACGAATAAATTGATAATAAGATTGGCCATCGGGGTAGGTGGAACGAGCCTCGTTGGTTGTCTCTCTCTTCTCTTAGGATATATGGATCAAAACGAATGAAAAATAAAGTTTCAAATAAAAAAGATATTGTTCAAAATAAAGAGATTAAAGTGGATAATTTTTATACAAACAACAAATGAATAATAATTTTAGATGGAATACACAGTAAATGAACAGTGAATATAGAAAGAGTGAACCGTGATGAACAGTATTTTTTATTTTGTTTTAGGTGTTTTAGTTAATTTTCACAAACTTAAGTTCACAACCGAAAGCAAATTGATTACCTTGTTAATGATGCAGATGAGCACTGCAGTCCACAACTCCCAAGGAATTCGCTCAATCATGGAAGGAGAGAAGCATGATAAACAGACATTGCCAGTAGTAAAATGTATTTTGCAATAATTTTCCTTCCTATGCCCTTGGACTGTTTTCACTTTCATCTTCATTCTTCACTATGATATCTCTTGCCACAAAAAAATAAAAAACTATGAGAAGTCTATCTTAACCTTCCAATGTGGCACCGATGTAGGACAGGTGATCCATTAGGCAATCAAATCCAACAGGTTTCTTTCGCCTCAGTTCGGTCACGATATTCAGATTCATAGACCACCTAGTTCCGACTGTAAGCGATTATTAGGTACTTCGAAATTAATTAGATGGAAAAATTTTCAATTCTTGGTTATATATTTAATATTTAATTAGTTTGGAGATAGCTTGAAATTTGGGTCATCTACACGTTATTTTGGAAACATACTCTTTGGTGGTAGTCTATGTTAATCCGCTCTTCAAATAGCTATCGTGGGATTTATAGTCATTAAATTTTCAAGATTTGCAGATTTCTCCAAAATCCTTTAGAAGTTTACATTACTCACAATTGTAGGAAAGCCAATTGAATGGCTGACCGGTTTGCCACTCATGCTTACTTTCTTCCCTTAGATATTTCGTATTTTGATAACGTTTCGTATCGGCCTTCTGCTAGATTATATTTTTGGAGTAGTATCTCCAAAATTATGTAAGAGACACTAAATCGTATAGAGTTTTGTCTTTCCCATGAATAAAAAAAATAGCCAAAGAAATTTAAAGTAATTGAGTACGAATTATACAAATGTCAGTTAGATATATAAATAGATATAATTTAATGGTTATGTATCTAATAGTTTTTTGATTTAATGACAAAAATTGTCTCAAACTACTACGATTTAGTAATTTTGTATTTTTACTATTAATTTGAGTTAATTGTAGCTTGAACTATTAATTTTTGATAAATGCGATCATTATCTATTAACATTTTAGCTTCTTTTTTTTAAAAAAAATAATTATTTAACTTAGTCAAAATATGATGTACATAGGATTGCATAATAGCTATTCATTATATTTTAAAATTAATAACACTCATAAAAATAAAAAAAATAAAAGTATAGATAATCAAATAAAAAAAATACAAACCCTCAATTAGAAATAAAATAAAATATTTATACTCATATGGTGGATATGTCGGCATGTTGATATGTTAATTTAATGGATATATCGGTATAAATTTAACAAAAATATTTGATTAGAAAAAAATTAAAAATTTATATTACCAACAATCTAGTTAATACTAAATGTAAATATTTTATTTTATTTATAATCCGATCAATTTAATAGTTATGCCGGCATGAATTTAACGAAATCCTTGATTAGAAAAAATTAAAAATTTATATCAATGACAATCTAGTAAATACTAGATTTGAATATTTTATTTAATTTCTAATATAGTTAATTTAATGGTTATGTCAACATGAATTTAATAGAAAATGCTTGATTAAAAAAAATATGATTTTATTTAAATATATGTATTTTATTTTTTATTTGATTATTTATACTTTTTTTTTAATGAGTGTTGTTAGTTTTGAAATCTAATGAATAACCACAATGCAAAGGATTGACTAACTAATACTCACTCGTATAATTTTATGTAAACCATGTGTCAACTAAATTAACTAAATTAAATTAAAAATAAAATAAAAAACTAGAATGTTAACGGTCAAAGGGTCGACTTGTTAATGGTTACTCTTTTGATCGTTAAAGATAATGGATAAGAACCACATTTATCAAAAAAAAATAATAATTGGTTTTCAATTAATCCAAATTGATAATAAAGATCCAAAATTGCCAAAATCATTGTAATTTGAGGGCATTTTTGCCATTAAACTATTATTTTTTTTAAATAAAACAAATTTGAATTTCAATAATTTTAGTTTATTTGTTAGTATTATACAATGGAATATAACTACTCTTGTTATGTAGTTTAAAACTATCAAAAAGCTTGTAATTCGGTGATAATGGCCTTTTATAAGAAGTCACGAGTTCAATTTTTAATAGATTAATTCCGTTACGAGTCACGATGTATATGTTGGATGTGTGAGTTAAAAACAAATGCAGTTTAAAAATCAATGAATCTTCGGACAAACAAACAAAAAAAAAATCGGTTACTAGTTTAGGAGTTTAATGAACATTACGGCCAGAATAGATTTCTCAAAAGTATAATAGGGATACTCATAGAAACCTGCCCACATCCGAATTTTTTACGACGAAGAATACTCCATGTCTTAAAACTAATATGGACATAGATGAAGATTATTTTTTAAAACAATGTTAATGATATATTTTTGTATTTGTTAAATATACTATCTTAAATATTTATCTTCAAGTTTGAATTTAAAAATTAAATTAATTAAACTAACTTTTTTTAATTATCAAACTACCTACATCTTAGACTATTAGACGCACAAGCTTGGGCTTAATGACTGCAAATATGTCTATTCTACCATCCATCTTTTTTTTCTTTTCTTTTCTTCTTTTTTTTCTTTTCTTTCTTGAATACAATCCGTCATTTTAACATTTACTTAATTAAAAGCAAGTAATTTTTTTATTCATCGAAAGCTTATAAGTTTTTGAACAACATAATGTGAGTAGTTCTCCTCATCAATATTCATTGAAAAAATTTAGAGTCATTAGGAGTGAATCTTATTTTGATTGGAAAGTTAATTTGATATATAACTGTTAGACTAAGGCTGATTGAGTCAGAAGCAAATTTTTTTTTTTTTTTGGGCCCGGGCATCTCATCTTATATCGGAGATAAAATTAATTATATTCGAAACGAAAAAAATAAAGTTTAACTTTTCTTAATAAATAAAACTTCAGAATTTGAACTCTGTATATTGATAAAAAAATTTATCCGAAAACTAATTTATTTATCATTAAACCAACAACTTTCTATGAAATATGTATTTTTTACCCTACAATAGAGTCACTTTTTGAATATAGAATATCAAACATTTACCATGCTTAAATCTCCAAATAAATGCCAAAACTTTCCGATCAGAATGAAAGAAATATGATTCCTAATGGCACACTTGTACAGTATTGATCAAGACCATTTTTGAATGCCAGCGGTGGCTTGTTGAGGTTCTACAGACACAGCAGGAGCGGAAATTGAAATTTCAAATTTTGATAACTCTAATCTCTAACTTACAATTATTTATGTCACACAAGTCATAAAGTAGCAGAAGCTTGAAGACAAGTTAACAAATATCGTACCGAATACATGGGTTCAAACTCTCTTCTTCTCCGGGAAACTTCCTAAAGCATATCTAACCATTTTTCTACTTGCTAGTTAGATTGTGATATTAGTTCTAATTCTACTGACAAGATAAGGGACAATTTCCTTATTGGAAATTTCAGTAGATTCCGTACTTTATGTTTGCTTCTACTGTCCTTTTCCCGTACTGCTCTCTGCTGGTCACTTGTTACAGAGTCCAGCTCCCTTTGACGATACACCCCAAGAATTAAAAAATAAATAGAATTGTAAGGGTAATCTTGTAAACCAATTCGCCTTTTCGGTTTTCGAAAAACCAACATTGTAAAACGTTGTTGACGATTACGTTGAAATAGAGAGAGAGAGAGAGAGGGCTTATGAAACTAACGAATTCCAAAATTCAAAAATTTAAAACACCCCAAAAAATAAAATCACCAAAAAAACACCGTGGATTAACGACACGTCACTTGGCAGAATTATATCCAATAGTAACACACCACGTTATCAACGACATGGGGCGGCTGAAAATGACGTCGATCCTGCTTTCTTTATTTACCGGGAAAAGCGTCCAATTTTAGGAATTAGAGATGCATATTTAACTTTCCTATACTAGTCATACTAGCGCTCTTGTGGGGCTGTATTTTATTTTTTATTTTTTATTTATTTCCATAGTATTCCAGGCCAAAAATCTAATCTTTGTTTGTTAAATTTGAAACACAAAACGGATATAACTATTTAAGAAGTTAGAGAATTTAAATTTGAGATATATATAAGAATTCAAATTTAAAATTATTTGATTGAACTTCTTTCATTTAAGTCAACCTTTTTATATTTTATGGATTTGTATTTCATCAGCAAAATTGTATAAAAAGATAAATTAAACGCAAATAAGACCATTTGAGATACAAAAAATATTAATTTTTTAGATATTTTAGATATAAATTAATCTTTCGCTATTACGTTCAAAATATAAAATAGATATAGCTATTCAAAAAGCTTTTTTGTATATACAAGAATTCGAATTCAAAAGTACTTAATAGAACTCCTTCCACTTAAGTCAATCCTCTTAAGTCTTATGGGTTTGAATTTCATCAACGAAGGTATGTAAGTTGATAAATTAAACTCAAATAAAACAATTTGACGTAGAAAAAAATATTAACTTTTTGAATCTTTTAGATTCAGATTAATCTTTATTTGTTCTATTCCATGCACAAAATGAGCACGTTACCCAAAAAAATACCAAATTTAAAATCCTTATATGGTATGCAAATTTGTCCACCCCAAGTTACCTAACTCGAGTACTTGGAATTATTTACCCCATTTTGGATTTTGCTTATCCCATTATATATATATATATATATATATATATATAGAGAGCTTCTAAACAATGAGTTATTCCTCTCCGTTTACTATCACGACAAAAAAAAAAAAAAAAAAAAATTATAGTAATGGTAATTTAAATTTCTTTTTACTAAAAAAATCTATTATATAGAACATACAGTTCAAACTAATATGGTTTTAAAACATCATCCTATGTAAAGTTTTAATAAAAAAATTTGTATATAAAAATAAAATCAAATTAGGAATAAATAGTTTGTAGAGTTATATATTTATGAGTTTTTACCAATCCAATCTGTCCCACTAAATAAATCGATAGGGTTAATCCGACATTTGCTTACCTTTCGAAGAGATATCTTACTTTTATAGCTAAGAAATATAACTTTGTACTACTGCATTATATTTTGATTTTTCTTCGCTATATTTTCACAATAACTTTAACATCGTTAAACATGCCATCAAGTTGGAGAGAAGGACATAATGTCGGACAATCGGTGCAGTTTTTTTGTTTTTGTTTTTTAGATCAAGCGTAAGAATATTTTTTAATTATTTTTTATGCATTTTAAAATTAATTTCTCTTTATAAATATAGATAACAAGTACTTCCCAACACATGATTTCACCCATTTTAAACATAAATTCTTAAATATATTAAGTATAAAAATTGATCCCTATATCTAACCTATAAATCAATGTTTACTTCTATCCATCTTGTGCTTAGCAGGAGCGGTTTTTAATGGAGAAAAGCTGTCTGTATAAATTAAGAGCAAATTTGATTCCTAAACTGTCCATTATTAAAGTGTATAATGAAGTTTTTTGTCCTCCATGTAAGGAAAAGAGAGGAATCATTTCTGTTTGCTCTGCTCGGAGACAAAAGCTGGATCTTTGGTCTTTGGATCGTCTTTTCCGTCTCTTTGCTTAGAAGACAGGTCCTGTCGCGAACTTTTGTCATTATTACGGAGGCTATTTCGAAACTAAATTGTGCATATATAAGCTCAGTACGTACTCATGAGTTTGAACACTTTCATTTTTCCCACTTATTTTGGTGAGAGGGCATAAAATGGATTTTGGAAAAGAATAAAAAGAAAAGGTAAATTACACAAAGCCTCAAACCAAATTTCAAAAACATATGAGTAGATATTCCTTATTTTTTAGGTTTTAGAGGCCATTAAGTGGGTAACTGGGGTCATCGTAAAACTTTTTTGCATTATTTATAAGAAGACTGACGCTCCAAGATGGGGAAAAAAAAATTTAATTTAGAATCCTATTGATTTGCATGAATTATAAGGATTAGGTGCTTTCACGTTAGTGTTATCAAGAGCAAGCAATTGTCAAAATATTTACAACTCTTGATTTTTTTTATTGATTTAAGCTTTTAGTTTTATTTTTATTTTATTTTTTATTCTAAAGCTTTATAGATTTTCTTGATTATGACATTGTAACATAGGATAATATTTCATTTTTTTATTTGTTGATAATTTAATGTAATTATTCTTTATTAAGACTTTTGGAATTTGTGCAATAGTTGAACACAATTATATATAAGGTTATTGTAATTATTACGATGCGAGTAGTAGAGATAATAACGGACGGATACTTGATTTATTAATTTAATTTTTATCTTATCTATTAAAAGAATACTTTATCTATTATCTATTAAGAAATCACTAGATGAATTTTTACTCAATCAATACTTTATTTATATTAGTTTATCGGTCTAAATTAATTTATCATATCTTATCCATAAAAAGAATATCTTATTCATTATCTATTAAGAAATCATTAGATAAATCTTTACTCGGCTCATACTTTATCTATATTAGTTTAACGGTCTAAATTAATTTATTAAAAATATTAATTTCAGTCTTTATAATTTTTTAAAAATTTTTTTGGTCCTTAAACTTTTTTTTTGCGTTTTGGTAATTTATTTATAAGTTTTTTTTTTATCCTCAAAGTTTTTGAAAAAAATATTTTGGCCTTTAATTTTTAAATTTTATGTAATTATATCCTTGTATGTTAATAAAAAAAATTAAGGAAATTAGTAGATATTAATATAGTAAAGAGTTAGTATCCATATTCTAAAATTATATTATTATGTATGTATTTTTTATCCTTACCTATTTTAATACTCATTAGATAATGGGTATTTATTGAATCGGATAAAGCTGTATCCATTTTATTTTCGATCAATTGTCATCCCTGTGCATTAGGATAATATGACATTATTTTTTTCTTTCTTATTATGCATCTAGCTGCCATGTTTTTTTTCTCTAATTCATATCTACTATTAATTTTTATTGCAATTTTCAAGAAGTAGAATATACCATGCGACGGGTGGGTTGATTAAGTTTTTTAGATATTCTTAAATTAGTTTTCATACGTCAATATCCAGATTCAAATTTGGGTATTCATTAGAGTTTTTTTTTTTTTTTTTTTGATGTATTATCTTCTTAAAATAGAATCCAAAATGATAACTTAGAACAAACTCCCTTACTATTTAAGCAACGAACCTATTTACTACCTGAACCAATACTTCAAGAGTAAGTCACAATTACTTATTGACAACGATATTAAAAAAATATTAAGCTAATTATCACATAGGTTTTTTTTTTTGGATATGGACTTTATGGATATCTTTTTTTGTTAATCTCATTAGGCATATCTGGAACCAAAAAGTTCAGGAGAAAGGAAAAAAAAAAAAGCGATGGGAAATTGCATTCGATAAATGATAATATATCATGAATTAATTAATAAATGTTTAAAAGAACTTCTTATGAAATAGAAGAATTCTTGGCCAAATTTTGTTTGATTAGAACATGTTTTAAAAATTAAAAAGGAAAAAAAAAAAACTTTGGTCTCCATTACGCTTTGTCAATATTCATGATTGGCATGATCCTTACCAGATGGAATTTCGAACTTCACTTCTCTGAATATAGAGAAATTTCGTTTTACGCTATACAAGAAATTTCCCACCTCTTTCCTCCACCCTCGGCAAACTAAGTTGATACAGAGCATGCTTGGCAACTACGAATCTCATGCCGAAGTGGATAATATTTGAGAGGCTTGGAACTTACAAGGATTTCGACATCCAATAGCAACGAACGTTTAAATGATGTAATAATAGCAAGTAATATTTCGACATCCAAGGCACAGTAAACATATTTCTCAACTCACAATCTCACAATGGAGATGTAATAATAGGGCTAAAGTTGAGCGATTATAGTAATAATTATGAATCGGATAAGAAATTGATCATTATTGTTTCATTTATTATGTACCTGATGATTTTCTTCTGTCTCCAGCTTGCATAAGTTTCTTGGCAGATTAAATGTTGATTATCCTTTGGACGTTACAATTAACATAGGTTCACGTAAAGTTTGCAACGTTAACAAGAGAATCACAGCATAACGTGTTGAAAAATACAGGTACATTTACACATGCAGACACGCTTTGGAAACGTCTAAAATGCAGTAGTAGCTGAATTTTAATTCATGTATTTTACTTTTCTTGTTTAACTTAGCAATAAAGCAAATGGCAAACTATAACTATGCACTGTGTCTATTGCCGGGTTTCAGTTAGGTCCCTCCTACTAATTCCACCAATGTTAACCCTAAACCTATCAAAATTATGTTAATCTCTTCTTATGGTGGGATGGTAGTTTGCTTGTTGAATTGTAAATAATAGCTCCACAAGTTAGTTCTCCAACTTTTGTACTTATAAAGTTAAGAGTTTGAAAGAATTACCATTCCATGATGAAATTCGATTATAAATATGTGTGATTATGAGGTTATTTTGAGAAAAATGAAATAACTGAAATCAAGAATCAAGAGGAGAAATCGGAAAGAGATCGACACACGCCAATTTTACGATGGGGCGCATCGATATCCCCTCTGAAATGGAAAGAGATTGTCGTAATTTGGATGAGTTGGGGAGGATATTTCCAATATAATCAGTAAGAGAGGGACCTAAATGAAATTTACAAAATAAAAAGAGGGCATATTCGTAGTTCGCCCTAAAGCAAATTAGAAAAACAATAAGCGGGAAAGCAAAAGAAATGGGGAACGGCCAACAACAGCGACTAGCAAAGCAGGTTGGCATTGCAAATGATAATTAGTCAAAAGCAATGGGCAAAAATCAAACCAAATAAGAAAAGTAAAAAGAAGGAAAAGAAAAAAACAAAAGGTGGCAGTTTCCTAGGTCGCCACGAACTCGAGATTTGATTGGCCGGACAACATCACCTTGACCAATAAAAGAAATCAAATAATTATGAAGGAAAAAAAATCAAATAATCAAATAAGAGAATTTCTACATTGGATAAAACATGTAGTGAAAGAATCCTTGTTTAAATGATTTTTTTTTAACCTCCAATCTCTAAATTCTAGATTATTCTCTTTTTATTCAATTTGGTATATAAAACACATATAATAATCCAATTTTTTTAAAAAAAATTTCAAACTAAAATCGCTTGATTAAATTGTTTAAATGATTTTTATTGGCTTCTATTTGTAACAAAACCAACTCTTTTTTAATTCGAATTTAATCTTTTTATTTTGGCTTAAGTGTTGTTTTTTTATGGTTGTACAATTGATTAACGAAAATATTGTCTTTAATTTTCTTACTTGTACTTTTTTTTAAAAAAATTTGTTGGTCGTAAGTTGTAGCAAGTCAAATCTATTCAATTTAGGGTGATAGATTAGTCACCTACATATCGAATGGACTAATCACATTTATGGTAAATTTATATTCGTAGTGTGAATTTGAATTTTAGCATGTATAAAAGACTTATTTTATACGTACCAATTAAATCTAATTAGTAAAATTTTAGTCAATAGTAAAAGGATTTATTCAATAGATTGTGGTTAAGTGGATTAATTTCCATATTATTATATTTTGTTCGAAATAAAAGATAGGCCACTATTTCTAGAAAAAAAAGAGAGAAAATTTACTTTCTGTAAGTGAAGAGTTGCCTTGTAATTATATTTTTTTCAATAATAAGATTGTTCTTGAATTAATTTTTATGCACTTCAAAGCTAATCTTTTTTTAGATGTAACTAAAAAATATTTTTCAACATACTATTTGAGATATTTTGAAATTAAATTCTTAAAAATGTTGAAAAATCGAATTCTAAATCTGATTTATAAGTTAATACTGTTTACTGTAGTTAATTGCCTTGATAATATATCTACCCATTGAAAACAAAAAGAGAAAAAAACTTCAATTGAATCCAAAGGAAACTACGGGAACCCAATTTTATGTTACCATATTTTGACATTAATATACGGTCCAAGCCAATCTAGTTGATTAGGTAAAAAAGTAAAAGAGTATCGGTCTTTCAAAATCCACAGGGCAGTCCTCGTAATTTCAGTCGAAAAATGTAACAGTAGGATGTTATTTTTTAAACTGCAAACGCAATAAATAAATAAATTTTGTTTAAATAAATAAATAGAGATAAATATACAAAAACGGTAGGGAGATAACTCCTATTTTAGTAAAAGTAAAATAAAAATAAAAATAAGAAAAAGAAAAAGAAAGAAACTGGCACTTTTAGTATAGCCCACGGACGCTTTCATCCCTTATTCAATGCTTTACCAAACTCACCATTTTTATTTTTCTCCTTCCAGTTCCGCCTCTCCAAAATCCACAACCATTTCTCCCTTCCCTGCTCCTCTTATCCTATTCTCTTCAGGTATACCCTTTAACATTTGTCGAGTATAAATAAATACCCTTTGTGTCTTCTCTTTTCTACTCTCTCTCTTTGTTTTGCTGTCGAGTTTTTAAATTTCTGGGTTTTGTTTTGTGTCTTTCGTTTTCTTTTAGGTTGAAGAAACAAGAAATGGAATGCGTTGAAGGCGCTTTGAAGACCAGTTTTAGAAAAGAAATGGGCTTGAAATTTAGCCCGCAAGTTTTAGATGATTTTTGGGCAGTCAATGTTCCAAACGGCATGTCGTCTGATGATTTCTCTGTTGACGAACTCTTAGACTTCTCTAACGAAAACGGCTTCATTGAAGAAGAAGAAGAAGAAGAGGGAGATGAAGAGAAACCTTGTCTTGTTTCTGTTTCTGTTTCTCATGCACAAGGAACCATGGAAGAAGAGAAAAACGGAGACAATAGTCCTGATTTTGCTGTCAAAGAAGAATTTGTTTCTGTTCCTACAAGTGAACTTGGTGTGCCGGTCAGTGTCCTTTCTTCCTCCTCTCTTTCTTTGAATAATTAATTGTTTTGTTGGCAATTTTCACTAAAAAGGTGCCATTTTTTTGCAGACGGATGACTTAGCAAGTCTTGAATGGCTGTCACAGTTTGTGGAAGATTCCAACTCGGAATATGCTGCACCGTTTCCGGCAAGTGTCTTGCCACCGGAGCCGAAAAATGAGAACCTGTTGGAACAGGAGAAGTCAGTTCTGACAGAGCCTTGTTTCAAAACTCCTGTTCCAGCAAAGGCTAGGAGCAAGAGAACAAGAACTGGTGTAAGAGTTTGGTCACTTGGGTCTCCCTCTTTAACAGAATCATCAACGAGTTCTTCCTCTTCAACATCCTCTTCGAGCCCTCCAAGCCCTTGGTTAATTTACACTAAACCCAATTTGCATGTTGAACCGGCTTGGTTTGAGAAACAGGTGACTAAAAAGATGAAGAAAAAACCGGCTGTCGAGGCAGCGGCAATTGGAGGTGCTACCGGCGGTGGTTCACACTCGTCAAGGAGGTGCAGCCATTGTGGGGTTCAAAAGACTCCACAATGGAGAGCCGGTCCAAATGGTTCCAAAACCCTATGCAATGCTTGTGGGGTTAGATACAAGTCGGGTCGGTTACTGCCCGAGTACAGACCGGCTTGTAGCCCAACTTTTTCGAAGGAATTGCACTCGAACCATCACCGCAAAGTGCTTGAAATGCGAAAGAAAAAGGAGGTTTTGGTACTGACTGAACCAGGTTTGGTTCAACCCGTTGTCCCCAGTTTTGGATAGATTAGAGCTGTAGTCTACAGAAAGGCAGTGCATTAGGGAAAAAGAGGGTAGGGAATTGAACCGGGGATGTTGAACCCGGTTTTTTATTTAGGTTCGGTTTTATTAGTGTACATTTTTTTTTTTTTTGGCCTTTTCAGGGTGGGTGAGGTAGGTTTACTAGGTAGTATTTGTAACTGAATTAGCGAGGACTTTAATATGGTGCTCTTTTGTTTTTAATTTCTTACCATTTCCTTGCCGCAGTTTTTCTTTTTCTTTTTTATGGTTTATTTATTTTTGGATTTTATGGCCAAAGTTGCATTATCAGTTCGGGTTAAAGATAGGCTATACATGTCAAAAAAGATGTAAACCGTTCAACTTTTTATGTTTTTCTTTTGAAGGCCGTTGGAAAGCATGAACATTATGATGAAGCAAGGTGGTGTCCTATCCTATGTATTGGGTAGTGAAGAGGGAAGATGCGTTGTAATATACATACATATATAGCGTCAAATTTACGCACTTTATAAAATCCCTGCCCTTGGAAAGTGGAATCTAAGGGTTCAGATGTATTGGTTAGAGCATTATTTGTCAGCTTTGATGGGTAATTTGCTTTCATGTACAGTCTATAATGGGTTTTGATGCTGCTGATATGGACCACCCTTTGTTTGCATAAATGAGACATTTGGGCCAAGGCATAAAGGCAGAGGTTGAGCATTCAAAGTTTGAAATTAGCTAGAGGATGGTGCACCTTCGGCTGTTTCCCTCCATTGCTCTTGAAATCTTTTCCCCTCTAAACAATAATTGATTTGTTTCCGTGCACCTAATTTTTTTTTTTGTTAGGTGGGGCTTTCAAAAGCCTGAACCACTTTGCTAGATTTGCTAGTTAATTTAATGATTGATCGAATATAGTGATGGGCATTTTCCCCACACACATGTGATAGGGTAACACTGACTTGTTTTTTATAAGTAGGCTCTGAAAATGCAGGCCGATTTGCAGTTTCAGTCCCTTTTTATTGCTTGCTTTCAGGAGTAATGAACTTGGATTTTTATCACTTCCTGAACCGTGCCAGTCTTTGATTTAGACGTGGTTTGGACATTCACACATTTTATGTGATTTCAACAGGGATGTATTCATTCAAGCAAGCACATTAACAATCTTGGAGTGACTGGCAAGTTTAATTATACCTGTTGTTTGAATTATGGATATGTTTGAACTAGAAAAGGGGCTAAGCTAACAGGTTTGATTTGAGCGTGAAGAAGGAAAGAGTGTGGGCTTCGGCATTGCAACTTTAATCCAACTTTCACAAATTCAGCTAGGCAGCATTGCAGCATTTATTCACAACTGCCATTTTAGCTTACCTTACCCACCATATATATGAAATACATTATTGAGATGCCCTTCAAGCACTTACTCCATGCCCTTAAAGATCAGGTAAGTTCGTTGCAATCAATTACTTACCTCAACTTTAATGGTAACTGCTTCTTTTACTTTTGTTTCCATCTTTCTTATGCGCTAGCCCGCTAAGGTTTCGTATGGTATAGTTTTGGTTTTTGCTACAGTTCTGTTTGTGACTCTTATGATTGTAATATTATATTTAGTAATTAGCCGAGAGGATTGGTTTCTGCAAAAAAATATCCGTAATCGTTTAAATAAATAGTTTTAATTTTGAGTTTTTATGTATAAAAAAAATTATTTCGATAGTTATAGTCATCTTGTATATCTAATCAAACAGTAACAATTTAGTATAAACCTTTGTGATTGAGATGCTTTAAAAATTTTAAAAAATATATAATATATTTACTAATTATCATTAAAATGTTTTTTTATGTTGTAACATATTTAAAAGTTTGAAAGTTTCATTTTATATCTTCTGACCTTTGACTTTAACAACTTTTCAAAATAGTTTTCCAAATGTTACCAAACATTTGTTGCATTGACTTTTGATAAAATTTTAAAAGAGCCAAATGTACCATGTTGCCAAATGAGCTCTACATTATCTTCCTAGTGGCAAAATTGAATTCTCTTGCTCCGCATGTTGTTGTCTCATGTGTGTGTGTCTATATATATATATATATATATTAAGATTCTAAAATTTGGAATTTGATTGATATATGCAAGAACAAATGACAAATCATTCATAGTTTTTCACGTCCTTCATCCTTGAAGGATGTTGCACGTCAAAGTAAAACTTCATTTCCTTTTTATAAGAAGAGCAAAACTCTATCAAAAAGTTGTTGGTTTAATAATAAATGAATTAATTTTCAAACGATTTTTTTTGTTAATGTGTAGAGCTTAAATGATAGAGTTATATTTATTGAAAGAGTTTAAATTTTATGGTTTTTATTTTAAACATGATTAGTACTATCTCTAATATAAAATGTGAATACTCGAGAAAAGAAAAAGAAGAAGCAAAACTCCATGTCCAAAGCCTGCTTCGTCTACTTTTTCTTTTTTCAAGTTTTTAAGATCACAAGGATATAATTTAATTTGAATTCGGACTTTAATTTTCCATTCATCCCTATGCAAGGGAGAGTTGCTGATGCTAAAGACATTTGTTATACAAAGCTCTTTTCGGAATCTATGCTCCAAATCGTTCAAGTTCTATCTTTTTGTCCCACTCATTTGTTGGAGTTCTCAAATGACTTTGAATGAAAAATTGCATAGACTAGAATGAATGTTTCTTCTAATCACTGTACATTGAAAACATGTGTCAAGGACAAAGCCATAAAATATAAGTTAAAGGCCAAACAACAAGAGATATTTTCTTTTTAAAATCGCACTTGAGATGTCACATAACAATGAGAACTTAAATGTTGCTGGCGGAATTGTGATACAAGGTTACCGGTTAATAATTGAAACGTTAGTTACAATGTGCATGCCAATTGCCATATGTCAAATTGCAGTTCTCAGACTTTTCTACGAGCCTCCTCTTTCCCTTCAGTCAAGGGCGAGTCATTTCTAAAACAACAATGAAAACGAAAGTCAGTTCTTTTTATGGCCAATTTGGCAAATATTACATCAGATACCATACGAATTAATAAATTATTAGCATTGTTGACATATATGGCAATTGGAAAGTCTACTAGTTCTATTCTTTTTACAGGAACTAAAATATCTGGAATTGAAACCACAGTAAAGTACTCATTGAAGAGTCGATTTGTAAGATAAATTCATAATTCCATTATTATGATTAGTATTCTTAAAAGTTTATTTTTAGAATGCCTTAAAATTATGCGTTGAAAAATATTCTTTAACTATACTCATAAAGATATTAGTTTCAAAGTACATAAACATACTTATTGCTATATATATATATTTGGAATTGATCCTGTGAAAGTATAATGCGGTTGCATTGCTATCCACATATTTCCCATCCCCAATTTTAAAAACAGATTTATAGGCGGCTTTGAGTGAAAAATAGTTATGGAGATCTTTTTTTGGATTAACTTTTGCATATCAATTTTTTTTTCAATTAAGTTTCAAATACATCATTTATATATAAACTAGCGTATTTACAAGAATATTTTTCCCGATATTTTTAAAGATTCGAGCCTTCAAATAATAAAGTGAGAAACAAATTCACTTAGTGCTAGACTAAGGTTCCAAACAATATAAGAATACTACGAATTAGGGAAGAAAATTAGCAACGAACACAAACCCATCACTATTTAGCGACAATTTGATACATAATGCCAACTAATAAGTATAGAAACGGAATTGTGACAAAATAGCGAGGGGAAGTTAGGGACGGATAGCATCCCGTCACTAAGTAGTGTGAAAAAAATACGCACCTAATATATCAACGAATTTGTGAGGGAAATTAGTGACGTAATAGTAATTCCGTCGCTAATTCCAATTTTTGAAAATATCATAAAATGAAGCAATAGTTTTGAAATTTAAATTAGCAAGCAGACACTTAAATCCGTCGTTAATTAGCAACAAAATCGCATGTTTCGTCGTTAATTAGTGATGAAATCGTATGTTCCGTCGGTAACTAGTGACTTTCCCACATTTTTGGAAATTTCAAAAAATAAAACGACGGATTTAAATTCGTATTAGCTACGGACACTTATATCCCTTGTTATTTAGCGATGGAATCGTAATCTTCACTAGTTCTTAAATCCTAAATCGAAAAAAAACTCTTATTCTTCTCTATTTTCTTTTTCCTCTTTCCCTCTTCTCTTTTTGCTATTGCAGACGCCCAACCCTAAAACCACTACCCAAGGCGACTCCACTCCCGTCCCGGTATCCTCTAACCGATATAATGGTTCTCTCTCACCAAAAACCGTGAGCTTCACCCATTCTATCCACTCCTTTCGTCGCTTTCCCTCATTGTTAGTTCTCTCTCTCTCTCTCTTTCTCTCTCTTTTTTAAATACGCATTAGTTATTTGTATTAATTGTTAGGTTAGTTTTGATTAATTTGTTGCTTTTTTGTTAGTCGTTAGGTTTTTTGTTAGTTTAATTAATTAATCCGAATTAGTACTAACCGAGTTAGGTTAATTTCAAATAAGGTTAATTAGAGTTAATTTAAATTAGTTATTAGTTGATTAATTATGTTAATTTAACTAAGGTGCATTGTATTATGTTAATTTGAATTTAAATTAGGATTAATTTAAAATAGTTATTAGTTGATTAATTACATTAATTTAATTGGGGTGAATGGTATTATGTTAATTTCAATTGTAATTAGGGTTAATTTAAATTAGTTGTTAGTTGAATAATTAGGTTCATTTAAATTATTAGGTTGAAATGAATTATGTTAATTTGAATTTATTAATTTAATTGATTAATCTAAATTAGTGCTACTTAAAATAGGTTAATTTGATTAATTATGTGTTAAATGAATAAGTATGTTAATATTGATTAATTAGTGTTAATTCGAATTAGTATTAAATGAATTTGGGTCAATTTTGATTAATTATGTTTTCTTTACTAAAGTTAATTTTAATGTACATGTTTTTTCAAAAATAATTACTGATCAAATAAAAAAATCAAAATTCTATAAAATATTAAATTATATTAAAGATAACCAAAACAGAATAGTAGTAATATTTCGGTAAGTGAACTATTTTTTTTTTTTATCTAAAATATTATATTAGATTAAGGAAAACTAAAACACAATTGAAGTAATATGTTGCTTCTTTAACTATTTTTTTAGATAAAAGAATATTTAGATTAACTTACACTATAATAATTTGTTACTTTTTAATTTTATTGTTAGGCTAACTAATAGTTATTTTAAATAGATTTAGGTTAATTTTGATTAATTTGTTAAGTGTATTTAAAATAGAATTTATTTCAAATTTGCTTTAAATTAGAGCTATACGAGTTTAGTTATTTATTTTATGATTGTGAAAGTGTGTCAAGATACATTATAGTGTATCGAACTCGAGGGCTTCGAGATCCTCGAGAATTGAAGAGAAATAAAGTTGGTTCAATGTTATGTGATGGAGCTAGAAGGGCAAGTTTGTAATTTAATTTCAATGGATTATCCAAGACAAGTATCGGTCTCATTGTTTGCAAATTAATAATTGGTTGTTGTTTATGTGATATTTATTAATTGAATTATTTTTTTTATGTGTTGTGTATTTTATTTTGGAAATCAAGAAACGTCTAATTTATAGGAGAGATTCCGCCAATTTTTACCTTCATAGGAATGTTGATCAATAAT